GGTAGCCCATGGCAACCCACTGCAGCAGGGGCTGCAGCTGCAGCCTGCGACTCACGGCAACCCAGCTCCAGGTTGAGCTGTTGTTCAACATCTTAGCTGTAGAGGGCAGTGTCACAGGCCCTCATATGCGGGATCCGAACCGGGGCCCTCTGGCGTCCCAAGCCAGTTCTTAACCATTGTGCCACTCGGCCAGCCCTTCTGCATTTTTCTTTTAATGACACTATGACTATGTTTTATTCTAGTGAGTCAGTGTGCATATCTGGTTCATCAAGAGGAGAATTTTAAGGGGGGGGGGCTTGAATAAAATAAAGTGGTTTTACCCATCAAATGCCAGGCACCTCTACTCCTTGGTTTAGATGACAATTACAATTCCTTTAGTAAACGCATAGCCGCTCTGAGAAAAAAGGAGTGGGAGAAAGGAATGAAATATCAGGGAAGCTGCCCTGTGTTCTCATCCTGCCCTGCTTGTGGAGATTTCATCTTTCTGTGAAAGAAACATTCCTTGGCCTTAGATTACAGGAAAATTGGAAGAACTGGACTCTAAAGTATGCCAATATTACCCACAGTCTAGGCCAAAGAAAGCCAAGAAACATTTGGCACAAAGAAGTTGTCTTGAAGAAATATTTTTCCATGTTATATTTGCATAAATTTGTCATGGGCCTGCCACTTCAACAGAAGAAAGGAAACAGCATAATCTTGAGTCTGCTGGCATCCTGTTGCCCTTTGCAGCCAAGGTCAGACTATGTCACCTCTTGCTTCATTTCTGCTCCTCTGAGTGGACTCAAGGCTGGCAGATCTGAGGCTGCAGGCTGTCCCACTGATTCCCGCCCCCCCTCTCCCCTCCCAATATTGTGTGCTTAAGTAATGCGTATGACGCAACACAATTTCATTTTGCTGATATTTTAGTTTGTTGAGCCATAAGCCCAACACGCTGTTCAAACCACAAAGCAGCATTTCCTGTGGCAGTGCCAGTCAGGGGGAAGCTGTAACTAAAGTACCAAAGATGCCCCTGGCAAGACCACATGACTCCACATTCTGGCTCTAAGACCTGGATTCCTCTCCACTTAACACACTGACATTGTACGTAGGAATCTAATATGAGGCTCAGCTTTCTGAGAACATATCCCAAGACACATGGTGACCAGTTCAGACGTCTGACCTGTGAAAGTTTTCTGACAGGAAATGACAATTGCTCTCCTGCTGCTAATATATGAGCCATCTAAGACCTCTTGAATAAAAAGTGTAAACTGAGGAATCAACTTCCTGCTGTTGAAATTTCTACACTTCAACAAACTGAAGTAACAAGCCAGTGCTTTTTATTTTAATAGTGAAAGAGATTTGCTTAAAACCAGACCAAAGTAACTGACTTAGAACAAGTAAGTAGTCAGTTAGATTCTTAAACCACTGACAAATAGGCCTGTTTCTCATTGCGCAAGTTTTCAAAGATACTTTGAGGAACCATTGAAGGCAAGACAATAATTCTTAGTTTTATCTAATAATGCCACATTCTGTTATGTTATCAAAAATGTATTAGAGTTAAAATAGCATTTTATTAATTGGCTGAGAAGTTATACTTTATTATGTCCTGAGTGACAAGGGCTGGGAGGCTCAAGGAGGGGTGGCGAAGGGTTAAGAAATACAAGAGTCAAATGTAGAGTTTCTATGGGCCAGGGGTCTCTGGTCTCTGGTCGGCAGGCGCATAGATTTTATTGAAAATTGCCACAAAGAGGGCCGGCCGAGTGGCGCGATGGTTAAGAACTCGCTTGGGATGCCAGAGGGCCCCGGTTCGGATCCCACATATGAGGGCCAGTGACAC